TTTTTAGGAAAATTAAAACGCAGCTCATTTAAATATTGGAGCCAAACTTCACGGTATGATCGCGGATGGTTGATTTTGATTTATTTAGCATTCCTGCTAATTGACGTAATGTTGAGCGTGGGTTATTCTCGATTTCTGTTCTAATCATATCTTCGTCTGTGGTGGACGGTCTACCTGGGCGTTCTTGATCTTCAAGGTCAAAATTTCCAGCTTTAAACCGAGCAAACCACTTCCGCACAGTTCTTTCGGCTACAGCATCCTCGCCATAAACAGCGCATATTTTATTTGCCGCTTGTGTGGCATTTTTGCCCTTTCGGAAAAAGAAAAGCATTAAATACCTATAATGCACTTTATTTGCCGCCATATTCTAAGGCGTACAAAACTGATAAAAATTAACGAATCGTAACCAAGCTTTTTTCCAAATATGGTTGAAGTTATCTCGTTTAGAATATGTACACATGTCATTTGTTTTCAATCATTGTGATATATTCAGTTAGGTCTCTCACGCTACCTACCGAAAATCGGCACGAACTTTCCGGACAACCCAATATGTACATTTGAGAAGGCAAGCGTCCCGATGCCGCATTGCTAAAGAATTGGGACTTTGTTCGTGAAGGATCTGGTCATGGAGTGTGGAAGGCAGTGTCTTTTGATGAGAGGACCATGATTGACCTCTCGGCACTTACCCCACGACCTTGATGGAGTACATATCGACAATTTTCTAACATATCCGTTACTTTGTCATACGATTGTTCAGAGTTGCTTTTCTATTTTCATAAAATGCAAAGGTTATCATTTTCATGGCCATAAATTTATAGATCCATGCGCGCATAGTGCGCGTTCTTTGATCATTTATGCATACACGCGGAGAGCGCAGTTCGAGGAATACTCGAGACTCTGTATGTTTTCTTAGTAACTCCACAACTTTCATATTCATAGATACTGCATATATTACCATCGCTGACTATCACTAAACTAGAATATAGCGTTTGAATCGCGGCTCTTCCTCAACCGTGCCATCTGTAAAACAGTTTCATCGAAGAATGTCGATGGTCGGCGTTTTTCTTTCTGAAATATGATACCAGAGTAGACTATTGCACAAAATAATTTAGATAATAATCCACTGAAGTAGAAATACAGAACAGCTTACTTCTGTTCGGAAATTATAAATCTACAAATGATATTCATCGCATGAGAAGTTCAGGTAGCACACCTGATTCAATCATTACATTCCACTTTGTAATTGTACCTCGTGTGCACTTACGTAATGGCATCGCAGTTTAATGAGTTCTCTGAATTACCAATTACAATATAATCGAATAACCTGTCCTGAACAATGACTTGCTATTGTACACGATGCGATAGAATGATAAGCGTCTGATTTCTCGTGATACTAATCTGCATATTTACAACGGACGCCTGTTGCGCCCCGAAGCGACCGCAGCGCTTCTTCTGGCGGCCCGTGCATCGATACAATTTATAAAGCCGGTCGCCAGGTAGCGTGCCGTGTCGATAAGTTCGATACATCGAAACGTGACGTTGTCAGGCTTGCGGGTGGGGGGAGGTGAACGGTTGGCGATGACGATACAGGGCTGACAGCTTGATGGGCGAACCTCTTTCGGGATGCTGTACTCCTGGCACTTCGAGATGCAGCGTGTCTTTCGAATGGCGACGGGAGCGCTTCGCAGCACGATCCCACGACGACGGAAAGACAATGATGGCGGTTAGGTGATCGAGGCCCAACGATCGCGAGCAAAAAGAGAGCCCGAGCGACGGGAAGACGGAGGCGGTCTTTCCTGGTCCTTCGGCCAAACAGCAAAAAATGCCATGCCCCTTGGCGCGCCTCTTGGTATAATGGGGCGCCATGAACGAGTGCTGGTGCACGCAGCCTGCGTTATTATTTATTTCGAGGAGAGGGGTAGGAAATACCTCATCGAACGAACGTGGTTAGAAAAAGGTGCGTTTTTCATATAAATATTGGAGAAAAACGAAAAGCAAAAGTAGAGCAATAATTAACCCAAAAGACAAGGTGGTAGGTGAGGTGCAGTTGGAGCAAATAGATTCCGATCAGGGAACAAGAATAAAGGAGGTATAACATAAAAATGTTCCAAAGGATGGGAGGTTAGGGTTGCCTCTAACCCCCATCTATGGAAAGAGGGAGATGGGCAGTAAACACCCGGTGGGAGTGGGAGACCGCCTGGCGCCACCAGGCGGCAAACAAACAAAGGAAAAAAGATGGCGCTAGTAAATGTACCGATGCAAATTTTACAGAAAAGAGAGAGCAGTCAGCCAATAGGAAGCGGGGGACTCTTTTCACCGATTGGCTGTGAAAAGACCCCGAGAGAACGAAGCGTTAACGGAAAAAAAGGCGGCAAGCATAAAGACCTCGGAGGAAAAATTCCTGGCGAAACCACCAAAGGAAACTGGAACAAGACAGTGTAGGAACAATCTGTTCTTGCGCTGACACGCCTATAAATCTATCATTGTACGCACTAGAAGGCAATAACTGCCCTAAATCCCTTAATTCATTTCGCGCGCCAATTTTTTTTAATTCGTACCATTGTCCGAATAAATAGCAGGGCACATACCCCGACGAGAAATGAATCGCCGAAAACAATCGAGACAGGAGTCGAGACAGGTCACTGCAAACTGCAAACCCTGTTGAGTCGCGTCTTCTGCCACACGAGGTTACCGATTCCGACTTTGATCTGTCCAATGCATAAAAGATCCCAAAACAAACCGGCACCTATAAGAAGGTCAATACGACCCAAAATTCTAAAGTCGGAATCTCTGGGTAGTATAGGTAGTAGGTACTTCAATGATGTTATATGTAACTAAGTAAGCTAACTTACATGTGAAATCGCTATGACTAGATGAAATTGACAATTGCGACGTTGAACTAATGACCTTGATGCATCCTAAACCGCCCATTGTAATTTCTGCGGCCTAACACGTTAGATCAAGAGGGATTGACTCGTCAGCTGGATGCATGACAAAAGGCTGTATAAACTAAAGAAAACGTATTTTTTATATTTTTAAACAATTTATAGGTTTATATAGCTTATTGTAAATAGATATAAGAAACAAATGAATAATGTACTAAGAAAAAAATGTAAGGAAGATGCAAATGGTGTAAAGTAACAGAAATTACGTAAGTTGCGGGCACCTAAACGAAAATCAATTCAATAGCGTTAGCGTCATTATTTTGCTGGTCGGTCGCCAGAGGGTAGCTGGGAAGATACTGAGAAAAGACAAAACTATAAAAGAAGAAGAGAAATGAATTTGTCATTCATTCGACATGAAAATCGATGACTGATAGTGCTGGCACCGACTGCGCATGTCGTTGTCGTTACCCGCGGGGGAGCGGAGTCGTTTGTTTTTTCTGCTATCCTGGTGTCACTGTGGTTCCCGGCATTCTTTTCATTGTTCTGTCGCTCTTGTTTTGTTTTTAAAGATTTCCTTCTCTCAAATCAGAACACTGTTGTAATCTGGATTTACATAACAACGTTTCTTGACACGGGAGATAAGTTTGAACGCTTGTTAACGAAGATGCTTGTTTTAGAAAAATATGTATCAAAGTATAAGAAGGTCTGATGATCGTTGATGCCCTTTCCGAAATTATGATCTGTTTTGCGAAAGTACTTGTAATACCTATCCAATCCACTTGTACTTTTCTCGTAAATATAAAGCAACAAAAGTGAAGTAGATAGCTACTACACTAATATCTACACTCCGGATGTCTTCTTTTCGAAAAACTGTACGATAACAGAAACGTTAATTAACGCATTCTTCTTCTACAACCCTTTTCAGGTGTGAGTTACGAAGATTCCTTAAGAGATGGGGTCCTTCTTTGCAAACTTATGAACAAACTGCAACCGGGACTTATCACCAAGATCAACACCTCCGGCGGCGATTATAAGATGATGGATAACCTTAATCAGTAAGTACCTATGATCAATGCGCTGACAAATATTGTATAAACACTGTTGTTCGTTCGTTTCGAAATACTTTATCCGAAGATATTTATACATACCACGTAATGTATTTACGCGTGGTTGTTCCGCAGAACTATCTCATCGGTTTCAAATTCGTTGAACCTCTTTCGACATCATGCTTCTCTGTTACACAGTCGACTTTCCGCAATCGACAGTGTTTTGCTTCGGAACGACTCTCGACTCGCACCCTATCGACATCGAGACCATTGGTCACCGACTCTCGCCGGAATCGAGAGATCCAACCATCAGCGACTATTGACCTCGAGTTTATCCCTTCGAGGCCAACGATTCCGCCATACTTGGACACTCAAGAACCGCGACAATAGCTGTTCCAGCTGTTCGCGGTGTAGATACCTCTTGCCGTTCTCTGACAGCCTGCTAAATAAGTACCAATAAAGTCTGAGGTCGGGTTACCGTCGCGCGTCGCAGTGAACGCAGACGGACCGATGCCTCTCTCGCAGTAGCTAAATCCTGGCCAGATGATTCTCTAGCGTTATCGTTCAGACTCGCTTCGAACTTAATATTCGATCTGTTGAACATTTGAAACGACTGTTTATATTGTCTTGTATTGCTCGAATGGCAATAATCTACATTCGTTCATTCTCCGTTTTGGTAAAATTAGTCTCTCTACTGCATTATGAATACAAATCAACCACCTCGCGCTACTGTCTCTCAGTACAAGTATATTCTAGTTTAATTACGAAATGTTAAAAAACGATTTAGTGTGATGTCCACAACTATTGCCCGCAAGAGACAACGTGGCAACAATCAGTGTCCCCAGTGGAGACTACCCACTAGCGTATAGTATAGTCCCGCACACAAATGGTGGCGATACTGGCGATCTGCAGCGAGTCTCCAACGGGCACTTTATTCCGCGTTATTCAAACCATAGCATTTTTTATTCATACAATTTTCTTTCTTTCTACAAATCCTATACTACTTCTAATAGCCTAAATCTTCTAATACATTATTACTGTCGTTTCCTATTTCCATAGCAATATCCGGAACAATTAGGTTTCGTGCTAAAATTATGCTATATCTTGTAAAAGCGTATGTCTATTTATAAATCCTTTCCCTTTTCCATATTCCTATTTCTATTGTTCAGAATAACTTGATGCATCGACATCCTGTAAGAAAACCATACGATAACAAGGCAAAATATAATTAGTTAACATAATAAATAACTAACCAAACTTCAAACAGCAATTAATTATGTTTCACAATGTTTTTATTTGTTTTTTATACGTAAAATAAATTCTCCTGAACGACTCCGTGCCCTTGGTTTAGTGTTTTATGCCCTAATTTTGGCATAATCAATGTTTTCAAACGCCTCTGCATTGTGTAAAGGAGAGGGATGTTGGCGTCTCTCTTTGGGTAAAAAAAGCCCCGCACAGGGTTAGTACAGCGCCAATTTGGGTAGTGGCAAAACGGTCGAACTACTAGTCGAAATTACCAACAGTCAAATTTGGTGAACAGTTTGAGTGTTTTGCCACTGCACCAATTGGCGTTGTACAGACTCCGAACGGAGTTTAATATTTTCTCCAAAAGAGGCACCACCATCGCCCTCAGTTCCTCAATCCAAGATCGTCTAAAAACATCAATTATGACAAAATTAGGGTATTAAAATGCTTCACTGTGTTATCACTGTGATATCACAGTGCTATGCCATACTATGTTGAATATCTTTTTAGTTATCGGTAGCTACCACCTGCGATCAAAACGTTGATATTGCTAAATTCAGAGAGACATAGGAAGTCTCTACACACAGCACGCATGACGATTATGACGACTTCTTTGTTTAACCACAGTATCGCGTGTCGCGTTGCCTGCGCATGCCACCAATTGGCGGGTTTTCAATGTTTAAGAGCGCTTTCTTGTAGTGGGGCGAACGATGCGCAGCGCGGCCACTCCGCGTTACTCCCTTTTCATGCGGAAATCAGCAACGGCATGGAGGTTGTACATGCATGCGTTGTAGTCCTCTTTAATTAGCTACATGCCTGGTACCCGGAGAGCTCGTTAACACTGGCCTGCCTCACGTTTGTCGCCTACTGTCATCGCGCCGACAAGATGGCGGATCATCGAAGAGGTGTCCCGATGATCTATATTCTGTTAAAGTCTAGCGGCTACGGATAGACGATGAACGTTTATGCTGCAGAGTTAGACAGATATCCTTCCAAATAACAAATACAAATTTCAAATTTATTCATAGGTAAATCTATAATTCATTCATTAGTCATAATGAAACGACTACTGTTATTCGAACCACATTTATTCTGTATGATTGAATAACGAATCACTGTGACACCTGAATGAGTCGATGACCTGCGTAGTATGTGTAATTATCTGGCGGGCAATATATAGAGAGCACTTACGAAGAAAATAGTTTTTTATTAAAGAAAATTTTTCAATGGAATTGACGGTATTCATTGCATTGTTCCAGGTTCCAAAAGGCTTGCGTGAAATACGGAGTACCTGATGTAGATCTCTTCCAAGCAGTTGATCTCATGGAAAGAAAAAATATCGCTCAAGTGACTAATACAGTCTTCGCCATCGGTCGCACAGTAACTAGTTCTACTAACAATAAATCATATTCTTTTCGATGAGCATTATAGAATTAACTGAATTTCTTCACAGACGTATAGACATCCAGAGTGGCGTGGACCCTGGCTGGGTCCTAAACCAGCCGAGGAGAACAAACGACACTTCACCGAGGAACAATTAAGAGCCGGTGAAGGTCTAATTGGACTGCAAGCTGGAACTAATAAAGGCGCGACTCAAGCTGGACAGAGCTTTGGCGCTACAAGGAAGATACTCCTTGGAAAATAGTGTTCATTGTTCATTTTTTTGATGACATTACAGTTCATTTTATAAATTATAATATTAATATAAGGGTGAAGCATAGTGAATAAACGACATTGATTTACAATGTAGTTTATACAAATAGAAGATAAGTGGCTTTTCCTCGCATTTTTAATACATCGATACCAATGCATGCGAAAATCAACATGTTAATAAAGATTTATCTCTTTTATGTGAGATTCTTTACTAATGTCTCCTGCACTTAACTTGTGCTTGCATTATTCTCTGGTGTGAAATAATTTATTGTTACAGATGATTTATAAATAAATTAGGTAAAACATGAAATTACTGTTATATTTACAATATTATACATGGCCATGCATTGTATTGCACATTTATGTAATTGCAAAATACTTGTTCGACAATTACAAAAGCCATTTGTAAACTATGTGTTGTGTTGTGTACGTAATCATTTATCATATCCGTGAGATAGTATACACAAGCGCAAACCAGCGGTTATGTCAATAAGGTTAAGTTTCCTAAGTTCTTCACTGTAATGCCGTTAGTAACAATGTGAACACTAACATGCAAATACAGAGTATGAATTTTTTCCGTTCTTTCTACATTTTAACATTACTCGGCCTTAAAATAACGAGTGGAATCGGAGAAGGTTAGTAAGGATGTGAGGACGTTAGGTTACTGACATCTGCATTATTAAATTTACTGTTTGTCATCGAAAATTGGTTAGGAAATTTGTTTAAATTTAACTCGAGAGGGTCCTTTCTGGATACGAGTTACGGGACAGATGTGTTCTTCGAAATTATACATCCACCAGAATTGGAGTACACATACAAATTGAAGCCCGCTAAAGATTTTGGAGTTCCTTTCGTAAGTAGCTGTGTCTACCATCTCCAAACGATACTGATCTGTTCATTGTGTCTAACAACTTTTCAGAATGCAAGCTTCTTGGAGGAGAAAATACCTCTGGTTCCAGCTGAACCTCCTCAAGGTTGTCAGATAGCAAAGAATGCCAAAGAATTAAAAGGTAGAGTTGCCTTAGTGGAACGGGGCAATTGTAGTTTTTTTATTAAGAGCATGATGGTTGAAGAAGCTGGCGCGAAGGCTGTGATCATAGCAGACTATTATTTACCTACTGTTGAAGATTCAACAACTAATCCATTCTGGGCAGACTATTATTATGTAGAAATGGCCCGTGACCATACCATACCACCCTCGAAAACAGTGAACATTCCTGCTGGATTTTTGCTTGGTAAGAATGGCAAAATGATTCGGCAAACACTAAAGCGTTTAAATCAACCATTTGCCTTAATCAATATCCCAGTAAACTTAACTTATACTTCTTTGGATAAAGTACATCAACCACCATGGTTGCTTTGGTGATCTTCGATTCATATTAAAAGGTGGTTTTAAAAGGGGACAAATTAAATATAAAAACAGTTTATTATGGAATTTGTTTCTCGGTAAATAACTAATTGTTATTTCGAAATTGGTCGAGTTTCTCTTCGTAGCCACTCAAGCGCTTGAGCATTTTCTGGTCCTTGCAATAGAGGTTCCAGAACATTCAAACATTTCGCGTGGTAGTCATTCAAGTATTTGATCTAAAATGAATTGCAAATGATATTATTAAGATAAAAAGAACGTAAAAGGAAAGTGAAATCAATACCTCGTTATCCATTAATAAGGAAATATCAAGTAACTTGGTCTGTATAGGCACCAGTGTAACAGTCTCAAAAGTAAGAAAGCCACGATTCTTGTAATTGTATGGGGTATTTGCCTTTACCACTAATTCTATATTTTCGAGTCTAATGCCAAATTTTTCGTCCTCGTAGTAGCCTGGTTCTAATAAAGTTACCGATTGTATTCATGCTCACGGTATATTTATATAACAAACAAGAGTAATACTTGTACCTCGTACCATTTGAAACAAAATTGCCAGGTTGTAGACCTGGATCTTCTGGATATGGTCGCCAAGAGATGGCAATAGGCCCTTCGTGAACGTTTAGATACGAACCTACTCCATGACCAGTACCATGAGGATAATTAAGACTGTAATTGTACATTTAATATATGAATAAATAATATTTTCCATTTTATAAGCAAAACAGATCTATATACCCGACACTCCACAAGTTTTCACGGGTAAACGAATCAAGATAATTTCCTTGTAACTTCAAAGGGAAGATGGCTGTAGCGAGACCACACTGTCCCTTGAATACCCTTGTGAAACATTCACGTTCAAAGCTCGTTGCATCACCAAAGTGCAAAGTTCTTGTAACGTCTGTGGTGCCGTCTTGGTACTGTGCACCAGAGTCACAAAGATACAATTCTTTGTCTGTAATTGGCACATCCGTTTTCTTTGTTGGTAGATAATGGATTATTGCTCCATGAGGTCCAACCGAGGAAATTGTTGGGAAACTGAGTCCAATGAAGTGTTCTTGCTCCCTTTGAAATAATACATATTGCAAATAATTTCGTTTATATTCAAAGTTCATCAATTTTGCATATAAATCCCCTTACTTCCTAAATTTCTCCAGCTGTGTCGCCCCTGATATTTCTGTAATCGTTTCCTTCTTATTTTTAACTTGATCTTCCAGCCATGCAAAATATTTTACAAGTGCAACAGCGTCACGTATATGTGCAGCCTTCATTCCTTGCACCTCAACATTATTTTTTACAGCCTTCATAATTGTTATCGGCGTGATAGCACTGTACTTTTTTACTTCCTCACAAATAGCGTGTAAAGCATAGCTTGAAGCATTACTAATCCATATTTTTTCATTGCTAGCAACTGCAGTTTCCTTTAGAAATGCATTTATATCATCATACGCGTGATAAACTACGTTTACCCCTTCATCTATTAGCTGTTGTTGAGCTTTTTCACTAACTTTACTTTTATCGATAAACAGATGCAGATCATTTAATGTGAGAATCACATAAGCAAAGAAAACAGGATTGTAAGGTATATCAGATCCTCTGAAGTTCAAAATATATGCTACTTCGTCCAAAGCTGTAATCACAAGTACTTTTGCCTCGTTCTTATTCATTTCTTCCCTGCATAGTCTAACTTTCTCTCCTGCAGTGCATCCCGAAAATTGCAGAGACTGTGGTAGAACAATATTACCTGTAGCAACAGGTTGCTCATTGCCCCAGACTTTATCAATTAAATTTTCTTCAAGCGGAATCAGACAATGTCCAGCAGCAGTTAAACTGGTATGTAAGTAAACCCATTCTGTGTAACTCATTAGATTAGCATCTGCACCGACAGTAGATTTTGGTGGTAAGTTAGAAACCAACCATTTAACTGTTGTTGGGGTATCTAATAATCCTTCCTTCATCAATGTCCACATATCTGGAGGATCTAATTCTGCCAAAGCTTGTAAATAGTACCTTCCATCTGTCCACAATAAAGCTTTATTCGGTGTAACAATGACAAAACCAGAAGATCCAGTGAAACCACTTATGAACTGTACTCTCTTATCTCTATCTCTTAAATATTCAGACTGATGAGCATCATCTGAATTTACAAGCACTGCTTGGATACCTTTTCCTTTAATACCACCAATTGGAACAGCTTCCATCAGTTCACGAAGTTTGGCTAATTTCATTGCACCGCTCTTTTCTGCCATATTGATGCCACTATAGTGATAAATTAATCTGTATAATAATTTTTTGATAAAGCAAATGAAACTATCTAATTTAATACTTACAAATTATATCAGCTTTTATTTTTCCAATATTTACCTTTCCCTAAGAACGTTATTATTTGCAATAAATATCAATCTATTCCTTTCAAGCACTCACAATTGTGTCATTTGTCATCAGATTAAGAGAGAATTATCTTATCACATAATTCAGAAAAACATCGAAGAATTCAACTCTTTTCTTTATCAAAGATATAAATCGTATAGTATAGTGTATAACATACTGATACTCCAACCATTTACACTTTTGCTCAAGGTTAGAACTGATTCAATTTGTAATATTCAGCAAATAGAGTTTCTAAATACCTACATATAACGCAACAAATTGCATTTATCAGCATATAACTTGTACTTGTAGTTTATTGGAATCGGCCATTCCAATAATGAAATAATATTCTTTTTTATAAATTTAATCATAATCATAACACAACATGCATGAAAATGACACACGATGGATATGACGTAACAAGTATTGTACGTCGTTAATTACCGGTACATACATTCTTTGATGCAATGATTAGGGAATGATAAAACTTTTTATTTAACTTCTATAATGATTGGTAATTTTTTTGTATTCCTTTCTACTGTCATACTTTCTATATGTATTTAGGTCTTCGGGTTATCCCGAAAACATGCAAAGTAAATACAATCGTTTGTTTACATTAGATTATTCAGCAGAGATATAAATAAAGATAAAGCATTATCATTGAACCTAAAAATACAATTCTGCAATGTAAGTATACATACACTCATACATATATTCTTAATTTAATATATGTATAGCTGTTAATTCATTGTATGTTTTTTAGCATGCTTAGTTTAACGAAACATTGTGCATTAACAATTGGAAAGAACAATGCATTGAGATTTCTACAACCTCGACAAAGTTTATATATGCTTGGTTTAAAACCCACAAACATAAATAGAGCAAGTTTATCAATAAAAAGAGATTGTATCTGTTTACGAAAGGTATACACACTAAATTCAAAATAATATCCATTTGATTATTCATGAATTAAATCAATACTAACTTCTACAATAATATTTATAGAATTTGCTTAAACAAAGGAATGTTATAGCTGTTGGTTTTGCCTCAAAATCATCTCCAAAACCAGATAAAACTGTGGGAAAATGGCTATTAACATGTAGCGGCATGGTCTTCATTGCTGTTGTTCTGGGTACAATTGTCTATTTAGTTTTATATTCTTACATACGTACTATTATAAAAGTTATTGTAGACAAAACTTATGGAAAATAGATTTCAAGACTAGAAACATACTTCTGTAGCTTTAACACTACATATCGAACTTCTATATTAAGCACTTAAATTATTTCATACATGATAATGAATAAAACATAAATTAAAAAGTATACGAAAATTTATTTCTCCTTCCTATGTGCTTAGGAGGTGTAACAAGACTCACAGAATCTGGTTTATCGATGGTTACTTGGAAATTGTTAGGTGAAAAAATGCCTACTACTGAAAATCAATGGCACATAGAATTTGAACGATACAAACAGTTTCCTGAGTATAAAATGTAAAACTTATTAACACACATTAATGCAAGCTTTTTAAAACTGTACTGTGCATCTACATTTTTATTTTAGAACCAATCATGATATGACACTAGAAGAGTTTAAACGCATTTGGTGGATGGAATATTTGCATAGAATGTGGGGACGTTTGATAGGTGGAGTATTCATAGTACCAGCAACTTATTTTTGGGCAAAAGGTATGCTATCACTAGCAATGAAAATTAGAGTAGCTGCCCTAGGATCATTGATTGGTTTACAAGGACTTATGGGCTGGTACATGGTCAAATCGGGTTTGGAGGACCGTTTTGTGGACCCATCAGACGTTCCTAGAGTTTCACAGTACCGTTTGGCTGCTCATTTGGGGATGGCATTCATAATATACACAGGATTCTTATACAATGCTTTAAGCTATTTAAGTCCTGCCGAAAAACTAGATCTCAGTGCCCTGAACGTTAACATAACTGATATCAAACAAAAATTGAAAAGATTTAGAATGATAGTTCATTCGACGAAGGGATTAGTGTTTCTTACTGCTTTGTCTGGAGCTTTTGTAGCGGGAATGGACGCGGGTCTTATTTATAATACATTTCCAAAAATGGCAGATAAATGGATACCGGATGACATACTCGCAATAACGCCGAAATGGAAAAATTTTACTGAGAATCCAACTGCTGTACAATTTGATCATAGAATTTTGGTATGCTTTTGATATAAGTCAGACAGCAATTATAACGTCGTTTTTACAATCTATATTTCCTTACAGGGAATCACTACGTTGTCTCTGATTACTTATATTGGAATTGCATCTCGAAAATATAAACTTCCTGGAAATGCAAGAAAAGCAGTTGTTGCTGTTCTTTGCGCTGGTTATTTACAAGTATTGCTAGGAATCACAACATTAGTGCACCATGTACCCTTAACATTAGCCGCATCTCATCAGTCTGGTAGTCTTCTTGTACTAAGCACAATGATTTGGTTGTGTCACGAATTAAAATACTTAAAATATGTTCCTAAATGAGGCTATAAATAAACACTTGTGACATACAATGATTGTTCACCACGAAACAGGAAATGGTAAGATAATTTCATAACAGTTTCACAACATTATGCTTTATTTGACAATGCATTAAGTTATAATAATCAATATTCATAGAAATAAATTTACACGTGTGTAAGTAATATACCTACAATCAGAATATCAAAGTTTAAGTAATTTTATATCGTTTTGTAAGTATATTTAATTTCATGTTTATAAAGAACAAATAAATACCTATCCTAACGTAATAAACAAATTGTGTCATATCTGTAACATTTTCACTCCCTTTCTTCATTATTTGTTATTATAAGATTACATCTTATGGGCCTGACTGAATTTTATTTCTATATAGACTGTAAATCAGAATGAACTGACTACTAATATCATTTCCTCTTGTTTCATTGTGCTTGGGCAAGTATCAAATACTAAATAATGTTTGTACTGATACCTAATTTCAAAAACCAGCTTTGGTAAGTAATATTACATAGTTCAATAGTAATATTCGGTTAGTTTAAAAAATGTGTAAACCCTGCTTAATTGATAATTGCTATCTAATTACAGTAATATTTTGTTTCAGCATTTAAAAAGTTTTTTTTTCTCCATTATATATGTTCTAATTACTTCTGATCAGCAACACAGTGAATTCAACTTTATTTTATTGGCAGTTGTTCTACCTAATCTCCAATCAGTCATTCTTTGATTTTTCTTTTGTTTAAAACGCCTTATATGCATTGGTCCAACATAGCAACATTAATATAAAGCAGCAGCAATATTTATTAGGCGTTTTGAATTGCACTTTCATTATTGTAATGCTTTTTTTATTTACAGTCACTCTCATTTCCTTGCATGGCAATAGTGCCACATCACATTTTTTTTATTCAATATTACATGGATATGAGTATTAAAGGAAAATATTTTTCACCGCTCATACAAATAGGAATTACAAGCCTTAAAAAGAAACACAACATTTATGATAAAACCTTTACACGAATATGTGTGAAAACACATACTGTAATTTATTTACGCACAAAACGTTTCTGTGGTGCTTGAACATCAATCAAAAAGAACTTAATGCAGTCTCTTTCATATATTGCAAGTAACCCAAATACTATATAATGAAACTAATATCAGTCTGATAGAATTTGTTGTCCCATTGAGAATCTTATGTCTTAATTACGTTCTGGTAACACATGTCTCACAATAAATGCGAAATTACCATTTCGAACATAAGAAAAGTATAAAGTAATACTTTGAAAAGTGTCATTGCTTTACCAGACGATCACATGTCTCATTAAATGAAGGTACAGTTTAATTGCATATTGTTAATGCAAATAGAAAAAAAGTCTATTTCTTTGTATATAAAGAACATTTGTGAACACTGTGATCTAGCAGAGAGAAGAATGGTGTATTTATGTGGAGTTCCTAAATTTCTAGACAAACAAGGTGTACTTCCTTTGTTTACACTATTATCCATATTATATTCGAAGAAATTAATCATAATCAATTTTCGTGTGAATAGGTTTTTGTACACTTTCATGTTAATATTTTTAACAATTTCTTGCAGGCATTTTTATTATTATCTTGGACGTAATTACCCAATTTATAAATAAGTTATTTATACGTTTAAATATACTTGTTTTGACACTCAAATTGAAAATAGTGGAACTGATATATGTATCTGTATACATATACATATATACGTCTGTATTTATTATACATACACCCACACGCAATACTATATATAATTTTATATGATCAATGCATATAAGAAATAAACTATATCACCGTTGTATTAGTACAGTCAATAAATTCACACGCATAATATGTCACTTTTGTATAGTTATACCTTTAGACAAATTTTTCTTGTTGTGCAACATATGGGGCAGAAGTAATAAATCGAGTGCTATTTAAAAATTGAACTTGCAGTACCGTTTCTGTGTTAAACATTTCCTTATAAGCACAAATAACACAGAAACGTTGAAACGATTACGCTGATAAAATTGTGCAAAAATTATACGTTCTGCACCACATGAGTTTCAATATTAGTCTTATGTTTTCTTCTCTGTGCATTATTCTTCAACTTTGAAAACCTTATACAATATCCTATTAGTACTTACAGGAAGGAATCGTAGATTTTCAGGCCATTGTTAGGCCAAACATTTGCTCCTATTAAATAATTGAAACTTATGACTTATAAATATTCAAGATCCATTTACAAAAATTGAAAGAAGTGTATTAAACAATTTTATGCCCTATACTGTTATGCAAAAATAACACAAGATATTAGTGATTACTTCTACTAATTTGACCTTAATAGATATTGCAATTATTTATTTCAAATTAAAAAAAATTGAATACAGAATCTAGATAAGTTAAGAAGAAATGCATTGCAACAAGTAGCATATATCTTGTTCCTTTTCTCTCTATTGTCCATTGATGTCTTCTTTATATTCAATATTTATGTAATTCTCTTATTGTTATTTTAAGTGTATGACTTATTTTTTACATTATATCATTATGCAACATGGTTCAATAAGCAGCACAGAATAACTTTCTACATATATACTTAGTTTTCTCAAGTGTTACAGCACCAGTACCTCTGTTGGTAGTAACAAATAAGTATGACAATATCAGAATTTGAGTACAATCACCTTTCCTGCTGTGAATTCAGATGTCATTTTCGAAACAATTTTTCTTGCTTGATTTGCTATATGCATTAAACAGAGAACCAATTATAAATTCGAATTCTCTAATGGTTCACCGATATACAGTTAACGCTCTGTTTTTTTTTTTTGTTGATCTAGTATAAATTAAAAAGAGAATTAAATAATCACAACCTACAATTTAAACGAAATAATATTTAATCCTTATAACATTTACGTATATTACGAGAGTTAAGTGCATTTTATTGTAAAAAATCACTTCAAGAATTGCTGCTCTAATCTTAATAATGATACATTATAAAATTAAAAAAAAATCTGTTCCTACTTCTTGAACGTGTGTAAGATAGTGCTTATTAGAAAGGTTGGTTCAATGTGACTTGTATCTTACGTATACAGTAGTTCAGCTTGTTTTCATTGGACTATCATCCAACTTTTCAGGATTCACAATTACTTGTATTACATAACCTGGTTGTATCTTTGCTTCTTCTATATGCATTTTATCCCCTAATAATTTGCCACCAAAGAACCACCTTTGACGAGATGGTTCTAACCCTTCCTGGCTCTGTTAACACAATCATCAATGAATAGAAAAATTTGTTCACTTCATTTTTTAGTTAACAAATTATATACAATGTTATTAGAATTTTCTGAATACCTGTAATTTCTTTTTAGCAATGGCAATAGTATCTTTGCTATAAACAGGCAATTTTACTTCCCCAGATGTAGTTGACAACCTAAGCTTTAAAGTTTGTTCAACACCACTATCAACTGGTTCTATAAAATAACATTACGAATAAACATCTAAATTATTAATTCAAGATGCTTAATTAGAAGATGTTTTTATTTTGTTACCTGAACAATCGGCAGGAGAGTCTCTTCCACTGTCCTCTTTCACAATATTAATAGGATAAGATAAGCAGTAAATAGGGACTTGATACCTGGTTCCTAATTCGTCATAACATTCTGTTAAAAAGCCATTTGGCACAGAAATATTAGCTCCATCTAATATAGCCTGTGCTAATTGATAGTCTTGAGCTTCTGCAGCAGTTGCCCCGGCTCTCAATGCATCCCATATTTCTTTACGACCATCGAACGCAGGTGCAGTGTCCCAAAATTCGTCTCTTTTGCTTCTGAGCTGACCTTCTGTCAATGGTACATCTGACTTCCACCTAATCACTTCATGGCATAATGGATGATTCTTTCTTGAATTTCCTACGTAAACAAAAGATTTCTTTGCAAGAAGGAAAGCGTATGATATTCGCAATAATTACGAAATCACGCAATATAATACATTTATGTCACTGCACCGAAATCAACGATAAACAATCGTGAAATGTAAATATTTGCCGAGAAATAGATACGATAGCAATGATATTACACACGAAACTTTGAACCCGACGTCGGTAACGAAACAGCACAATAGTATGCACAGTTGCAAATAATTAGTCGCAATGCGATGTGCCAAATAATATGCAAATAACGAGCCATAACACGGAACAAACGCTAGATGCGAAGGTAAGGGAAAAAGCTCAAGTATCTTCAAGGTTAGCCCGATGTTGATCTAAGTTCCTGCGCGACAAATCTCGACCAGATATTCACCTGAATTGACTCTCGACGAGTTTCCTGTGGTATCGTCAACGGAGGCGTTTCTTGCCCTCGTTAAACCTATGCAGCCTCCCATCCTAGGCGGCTGGAGTGACCAAACATTTCACTGAAATTTAACAACACCTCGCATGCCATTTTCGTCCATCTTATCCACTGCATTACAAATCGGTACCATTAGAGGCGCTCTAATCGTATCATCAGTGACTTAACCTAAAACACATGCACGTACACAAGTGAATTTTAAAGTTAAACACATATCTAAAACAAACTAAACCACCGAGCTTCTCGATAGGCGAAATAATTAATTGATACACATTACACGTGACGTGACAGCTGCATGCAATCACCCTTATCTCGAATTTGATTTGAAAACTCATGAAGGAGACATTTATTATAATCTGACCGGACATATATGTATGTATTATTACACTGAGGTTAAGTAACGCAGCAAAGAGGCATGGTATGTAATGGCTTCGCTCGCAAGTACTGTTTCTAGGGAAAGATTTCTTACTGCGTTTGAAAAAAATGAGACACTGAATACGACATGCCAGGAGATCGCCTCAGGTGTGTATTAATTACCATAATCCTTCTTTCTGATGATATACATAGATGAACGGCCTTGATGTGTAAAGCAAGCAGAAACTGATCATACACAACACAGAAAAAAAACTTGTTTTGTGTGTCAGATTTGTAAATTGATTTTATATAAATTTAAGATAGAGAAAAATGATACAGAATTGGTCTGTAGATTTTTATGTGACTGAATATTACTTTAAACTATGCTGTAATCATCTTTGTTTATTTAGAAATACAATCTGGGCACACGAAGCTTTATGCAGTTGTGAAAGAGCTTGGACCTTTTGTTACCGACAAAAATCTCATTACGAGGGAAAAAGGCATTGATGCCCTCTCTTCTATATTGTCTCACTTACCCAAAGAATACTTGAATGAAAATGAATTATGTTTTGTAACAGCATTTTACTGTGATAGGCTTAAAGACCATCATAGCATTATACCATCAGTGTTGAGAGGGATATTGTCGCTTGTAAGTGTTTTATTATGTTCATTAATTGCATGTAAATAAATAAAAATATTTTGAATTATTGTTCCAGGTTGAAATGAAACACCTACCTCGGAATTCACCAGAACGTTTACTCAGAGTACTTTTTGAACATGTCCAATGCCAATCTCAACTGTTGCGTGATCGCCGTAACATATATTTAATATTTATAACATTACTACAAAACAGAATAGAAGACCTAAAAGCTATGGGACCAGACTTTATTTATGGATTTGTTAGCTATATTGATGGAGAAAGAGATCCTAGAAATCTTATGCTATTATTTAGCATACTTCCACAGTTTATAAAAGAATTCCCATTAGGTCATTTGACAGAAGAAATGTTTGAAGTCACTGCATGCTACTTTCCAGTCGACTTCAATCCTGTAATTAGATCAGCCAATACAGATTTTATTTATGCAATCGTTTATGAATGCAAATTATAGTTTGACTTAACATTTTCAGTCTGGGTCAGAAGGGGTAGGAATAACACGTGATGATTTAGCAGAGAAATTGGCACCTTGTCTTTATGCTGTACCAGAATTTGCAGAATTTTGTATACCACTTATACTCGATAAATTATTCTCGAATCTTAAAGTTGCCAAGTTAGACTCTTTAGATCTGTTATGCAAAGGCATGCACACATTTGGTGTAAAAGGTGCTGCACCATTTCTGACTGAACTATGGCCTGCCTTGAGAAAAGAGATCATACCTGGTGGAGACTTAGAACTAAAAAGTGCAAGCTTAAAGACAGTCATGTCTATAATTTCAGTTATATCGAGTGATACCAAGCTTTGTGAAGAGTTTATTGATAATGTAATTACAGATACAAAGTCTTCTTTGTACGATGTTCAACTTAGTATGTTTAGACCAACTGTTAAGGCATTAGAATGCGTTGCAAAAGTTAATACGGAATCATGCACACATGTATTAAAAGTAATAGTGCCATTATGTCTTGGTCAATATTCTGTCAAAACTTCAGCAACTGATAAAGTTATTTTAATTGAAACACTAAATAACTTTATTAAAATCAGCTCTGAACATAAAATTGATATAAAAAGTATGTACTCGTATAGTCATATGTTAATGTATACAATGTACATAAGATATGTTTGTAGGTGTTGCAGAGTTATCATGGACAGATATACCGCAATTATATTTAAGTGAACTATCAACACAGCATACAGAGCTGCAATCAAGACTATTAGTTGGTCTAACACTGCAGAAATTGTATTTAAATGATATACATCGAAGATGTCTCTATGAAAAAATTTGTAACTTGATTGAAACATCTTGTAACGAAATGAGAATAATTTGCCACGCATCCATTTTAGCTTTTGCTTCTTTGTATCCCCAGGAAATATCAGCTTTGATAAAGGAGAAATTTAAGTTAGAAATTGGTAAATCGAGTTACATCTTACAACGTGTTTTCATGATCTTCTATTTTAAAATACTTAAGTAAAATATTTTACATGTTTTAGGCGAAGAAACCGTAAAAGTACAAATTCGCAAACTGGAAGTATTAGCAGCAGTAGCTAAAACGTACAAATTAGGTATTGAAGTACTTCCACACATTGTATCTCAGACAAAGGCTATCAATTTCGAAATAAGCTTTACAGCTTTAACGTGTCTTCACAGGCTAGTTGCTACAAAAAATATTGATTATGATATTCAACAATATCTGCATAATGAATGTAATATTATTGAAAAATTAGCCGCCATTGACATCAGTCCCCTGGATCAAAGATTAGATTTGATTTTAAATATTTCTCGATTAATTGTAAGAAGTCTCACGCTCGAACAACAGCAAAGCATTGTCGACAAATATGTTGCAGCTTTAAGTACGAATATTTTAGAGATCAAGGCAGTGTTCATAATGAATATATTCATTCCCTTAAGGCTAAATGTTGATTTAATATTGACCTCGGATTTGTTAGAAAATTTGTGTAATTTAGCTCTGAACAGTATTCATTCCAATGTAAGGCTTACAACGTGTAAATTCATAGCTGTTGTGTTAAACAAAATGAATGATAATAGTGAATGCTTCCGTCGCGTGTTGTTATACTTCAAAGAAAAGATAAATATTAGTCTAGAAACGAATATTTGCATCGAAGCAGCAGCATCTTTACAAATATGGTTAACAAAAGCCGTAATTACAAGAGGTTCTTATGATGTTGAAATATTTTTAGACGAAGTATGTAATAATTACTGATAATTTTTCAAAATAATTCCGGACCAATGCTTAATCTTTCTCTAATATTGTTTTTATAGATTACAAATCTTTTAAAACATGATCAAATTGGTCAACAAATGGCCCAGGAATATAAAGATTTAACGAGTAAACAGGAAGATGCCTTAGTACAAGAAAATTTTTGTATCGTCAAAATCTTTTATAAACAAAGAGTATTTGAACATTTAATTAAAAAAAATCTCGAGTTCGAGGACACATCAAGACAAAGATATTTGACTGCAGTGGTATACTTATTAGAGGAAGCACCTGTGGAACTCCTATTTATGCATTTAACAAAGGTATAGCATGTTTACGTAACAAGTTGTACTTTAATTTAGTGACATGTATTCTTTTTCAGCTGGTACCACTTTTAATAGAGTCTTTGTCTCTTGACAATGAACAGTTAATTTTTTCAACACTGACAACATTGAAAGTTCTATTGGAGACCAAACATGTTATTTTCTCTGATAAAGCACAATGTTTTATCCCCAAACTTCTAAAGCTGATTACTTACACAACAATGGTAATATATCATGAAATTAATTGATATTTCTTGATGCAGTAGTTTATAGTTTAATATATTGTAAATATATATTTCAGAGAGTTAGAATAACAGCTCTAGAATGTTTAATGAATTATTGTAATTATCCGACGGTTCTACTTAATATATACAAGCAAGATGTATTAGAAAAACTGGCAATATCCCTTGACGACCGGAAACGTTTAGTCCGAAATGCTGCAGCGAAAGCTAGAACACGGTGGTTTTTGGTCGGAGCTCCAGGAGGAATTTGAGACCAATGATCTGTTTATCCTAAGTGAAACCAAGTTACAAATAAAATGTTGTACGACTTACAAATATGTATATTTTTTTTAAACATATAAATGAAACGTTGATTGTCTATGTTTCTTTGATTTAAAAATCGTCAGTAAATACCAGAAGTTTAGATTTACCATGTTCTATTCATGCTATATTGTACATAATGTACATAATTAAATAAAGGATTGATTTCTATAATAGGATTGAAACCTGAAAGATTCTCTTTAATGCTTTTAGTATGCCAGAAGCATGGGTGATGGTAAGAGTTAATGTTTTAGTAATTCGTAACTTCAGTCTCTTTTTTTTTATATTTGAAGAAAACTGTGGAAATAGTGTGTTCTAATCTGTGTTAAAAATGTGCACGTTTAAATTTCCTTACAGGTGTGGTAAAAAATGGTGCTTTTAGATATGAAGATGGTACAAAGTATATTGGAGATTGGAATGGGAAAGGTTTAAAGCATGGTGCTGGTTCTTTGCTCCTTACTGATGGAACACGCTACGATGGTGGTTTTCAAAATGGATTATGCTCTGGTTTGGGAGTAATAATCTTTCCAGATGGAGCAAAGTAAATGCCCATTATTAGCTTACTCATTTTACTTGTATGATTGTCAACGTTTTAATATTATTTATGTATCAGGTATGAAGGTGAATTTATGCAAGGATGGTTTCATGGCCATGGGGTGTTTTGGAGAGCAGATGGAATGAAATTTGAAGGAGAATTTCGTGGAGGCCGTGTATGGGGTCTAGGTATATAAAATGTTACAAGTATCTGCCATGTATAAATTATATATATATATATACAAATCATGTCTCAATTTTCTTAATGAAGGACTGATCACATATTCGGATGGATCTCATGGATTTCCCAGGAACGAAGGTTTCTTTCAAGATTGTAAATTGGTACGACGTAAACATTGTCCAGACATAGTACAAAAAGCACAGAAGATATCTATGATGGCTCGTGCTCAATGCAATTAAGCAGTAGACATAAATGAACATGAGTAGTTGTGAATCTTAATAAAAGTGTTGAACACTAGTTAATGCTATTTATTTATTTATTTCATTGCAATCCAATTTGTCTAGACTAAGAGTACCATTTTAATGTGAAATCGTAATACATTATTAACATGAAATAAATATAGTTCTGATTGTATCTACATAGTAAATTAATTGACACATGTGATTCAGCGATTGCAAAACACAGCTTGATACAACGACAGTAGTTTGTCTCAATTAAAGTGTTGTTAAGAGAATTATCATTCAAAATTTTTTAGTGTCATGGGCATGGGTTTCCAACGAACTCGTGATGACGATACGGTGTGACTGTTTTTCATGTTCATACAATATTTTTGACGACAACGTAAGTAATACGAATTCATGACGTCAATAATCTTATATTACACGTGAACGTGGGTAAAAAGAAGAAAGATATTAACATAAACCAACGTTTCCATAGCTAGGCGACGTGATCCCAGGAATTTAAAAGGCAAATAAGAATGAGAAGGGAAGGAGTATCGCATCGGGCGATCTTCATGGAACGTATTCTTGAGATTCCTACTCAGCGTAGTTATCAATCGACATTGCGAACTTAGATAACCAAGTGATTGTGATACAAACTTTCCAAGTCTTTTGAAACTGACTAAAAAATTTACAGAACCATCGAGTGCTATTAGGTCAGGCTTGAACATTATCGTGAGATATCGACAAAAAGAAATAACCGTTTCGTAATCACGCGTTGTCAGTCTTTTCACGAGTAACTTCGATAATCGCTGATTCGTGCAAGTTTTGAAACACATAAATGCAGGCTTAAAATGACACTTCCAGGTAGGAGATGATCTTACACCTTATTTCTTTTATATGTAGCATGTGCCGATGTGCCATATACATACATATACAGGGCGTCCCAAAAATGTCTCACAATCCGGAAATGAAGGGTTCCCGAGGCCATTTGAAGTAACTTTTTCCTTAGTGAAAATGCAATCCACGGCTTTGTTTACGAGTTATTAATGAAAAACAGTGACCAATAAGAGGCGAGCTTGTCTGGCGCATGATGGCACAACCAACGAACGGTCGAAGCCCAGTTCCGCTCATTGGCTCGGCTGTCTCGCGCCAACTAATCTTGCCTCTCATTGGTCACTGTTTTTTCTTAATAACTCGTAAACGAAGCCACGGATCGCATTTTCGCTAAGGGAAAAGTTACTTCAAATGACTTCAGGAACCCCTCATTTCCGGATTGTGAGAAATTTTTGGAACACCCTGTATACATACATAAGATACAGTTATGTATTACATTATCGATTGCTTCGTTTCTCTATCGTTGGCTGGCTTGGAAAATGGTGCTTGTATTTTGTCCTCTCTCGTGTCATTGTATCAACCAATAGTAGACAACACATCTATTCTATCTGTTGATATCAATCATTCCTGTTTTGTTTGTTGACGAAATTCAAAGAAGAGAGACGTCGTAAATCGCGTGATTCCACATAGTTACATACTATACAAGTTACAAACTTGCAAGTGAATGCACAGTTAGGCGCGTGCAGCATTCGCGCATACTCGTACACTTCCCATTTACACTCGACACCGTTGGCGTTATTCTGCAAGTACATAATCCATTGACGATTCTAAAGTTTGTGAATTCTATAATACTAATCAGTGTTCACTGGAAATTTTTCTCTAATGATGGTAACGTGAAACACATCGATGTCGTATTGTTAACGCACAATTGTTATTTTATTTAGAAAATGTGCAATCGAATTTTTCATTGATCGCACGCGAACGTACGCAATGATTATATTACTTTATAAACTGTGGATTTTGATGTCATGGACTCGGTGTCACCTACTCACAAGATTTATAATTAAAATTGTATACTATCGTTTATCTATTTCAACTAATTATCTTTCGTTCTAATCATGATAAACGGCGCATATTTTTGGTATCTTAGCGAACGCGACTTGCGCTGCTTTACATAGCATCGTATGATATACTATTGTATCTGTAAATTACACTATTAACATAACAAAATGTAATGTAATATAAATAGTATAATTTAAATCGAATATATTGTCGATGTTATTGATTTTATTATGAACAATATAAATTACTTTGCATTCGTATTTGACTGATTTCGATTCATCATAAATAAACATTATATTTTGTTTAATTGAAACTGCTATGAGTTTATATGGCATGTCACAGTTTATATATGGTTCTCAGTAGAGTGTTATGCGTTCGTGTTTTTCAAACATGGTATGCATAATTAAATAGTGACCTTTGTCACATGCCATAATTTAGAATGTCATTATGTGATCAGTCAGTAAAGAAACATTTTTTAAATATGGATGTTATGTAATGGCTAGTTCAAAACATTAGTATTAAATTAGTGTTCACTATGTATATAATGTTTATTCTTTCCATAATTTTTAGTCAACAAGTTGGCCAATGCATTGGAAGTATTTGTAAATAATTTGAAGTTCAACAATGAGTCCTCAAAGTTATAAAAATCATATAACTTCAAAAGTTATGGCATCCAACGGTTTTCCTGATTCTGAGACTGCAGCCAAGGAGTCCAAAAATCACTCATCACCTTGTGAGTTATTCAACTGTATGTGTGCTTAGTGTAGCCATTTTTATTTTATTCTTCTATGTATATATTTTATTTATTTTAATAGTATTGTCCCAAATATTTATAATGTATTAGTTGCTTGTACTCCCTTATCATTTACGTAATTGTTGTGTTTTTGATGTATTAAATATAGTGTTTGTAAAAGTTGCATCTTGTTTAATAATGCTTCAAAACGTTTCAAATATTTCATAATAATATGGATGTAATACATTATAAATATAAGGATGTAATACTTTCTCATTTTTCTTTTTGCAGCAATGCCATGGTTTGGCATGGATATAGGAGGTACATTATGCAAATTAGTATATTTTGAACCAAAAGATATTACAAGGGATGAAGCTGATGCAGAGGTGGAAGTTTTAAAGAATATTAGGCGGTACCTAGTTAAGAATTCCGCATATGGAAAAACTGGCCACAGAGATATACATCTGCAGGTATATTCTTTGAATGATTAAACACTTTAATATGCTCATTGTGGCTTGATGCCAGTCCGTGTCGTAAACAATTATTTATCGCGATAGCGAATTAATAAAACATCCATGCTCACGACACAGTGAAAGTGTTAAGAAGTTAAAAAGATACTTAATAAATCTGAGTAATAGAAAGCCTTGATGCTGTTTAAAAATAAAAATTAATTACAGATGGACAATGTTTACATAAGGGGCAGACATGGCACATTGCATTTTATTAGATTTCCTACAAGTGAAATGGGAAATTTTTTAGCATTAGCAAGGTCTAAGGGTATGGCTAGTCTTGTGACAACAGTTTGTGCCACTGGTGGTGGAGCATATAAATTTGAAAAAAATTTTAAACAAGTGAGACTCCTTTTTTTTGTTACATTTTTAAATTTCAACATGAAAACATGCTAATAAATGTTTTATTTACAGGAAGTAAACATGAATTTAGCAAAATTTGATGAACTAGATAGTTTAATACGTGGCATGCTTTACATAGAAACAACAAATCCACGCGAGTGTTATTACTGGTCTCATCCTACAGAAGATAGCAAATGTCAGAAAGTTCCTTATGACTTTTCTGAACCCTATCCATTCTTGGTATGTTCGTTTCTATTAATATTTTCTATATGCCTTTGAGCTTGTATTTTATATCTAATAAATATCTTTTCACAGCTTGTAAATATAGGGTCAGGAGTAAGCATACTAGCAGTATATGGACCAGAAAATTATAAGAGAATCTCTGGTACAAGGTATGTTATTTAAAACATATTCACAACAATGCCTAAAAATACTTCTATACTAATTTATTTATTTCGCATTTAGTCTAGGCGGCGGTACATTTTTAGGACTGTGTTGTTTATTAACTGGATGCAACACTTTTGAAGAGGCAATAGAATTAGCAACAGGAGGTGACAACACTAGAGTGGACAAGCTGGTTAAAGATATTTATGGTGGAGATTATGGACCATTCGGTCTCCCCGGAGATCTTGTTGCAAGCAGGTATAACTTTCAGTAATATACTGTGCTGAACTTTGTTTCTCTGTTGTGTAATCAATTTTTTATTTAAGACATTTACTTGCATGTTTTGATCGTGTGTTCAGTTTTGGTCAGATGAATTCTAAAGAACGTCGCAATGCAGTTAGCAAGGAAGATCTTGCGCACGCTACACTTGTCACCATTACAAATAATATTGGTTCAATTGCGCGTATGTGTGCCGTGAATGAAAAAATCGAAAGGGTAAAATGAATACAATATTTTTGCGTTTATTTTATGAAGAATCGTTTTGATGTGATGTTGATTGTTTTCGTTTTGATATTTTAGGTAGTATTTGTGGGTAACTTCCTCAGGGTAAATCATATATCGATGAAACTTCTGGCCTATGCTATGGATTATTGGTCTAAAGGAACAATGAAAGCTTTGTTCTTGGAGCATGAGGTAAAATACATTGAACTGCAATTTTAAAATGTTGTACATTACAGAATATAATCTCATATTTTTCTTTACATTAATTATAGGGATACTTTGGTGCGATAGGATGTCTGCTTCAATTCAATGGAGACACAAGTTAAAGATATAGAAAAAATGCATAATATATAGCATTCCATTTGATACTCCCGTTCAAGTGAATCTTTTTTAACGAAGGCGGTTATCCAATTATTTAATACGATTATTTATTTTTATTATATATTGTTTAATTTCTCAGGAATTAGTTATAATGATATATGAAATTTTAATAACGGCAGAGGCCTGAGGTCAGAATTGTATTATCTTTATATTTATTGTAATCTTAAAGAATAAGCACAGTACAATAAGTTAGTATTTCGAAACGTATTATATGATCATTGTAAACAGACCTAATGTGGGCACAAACTTTGCACGAGTTTACATAAGAAATTATAATGGACCAAAAGTCGAACGCATAAAACTCAAGTGAACATTCTTTATACGAGTAATATGGGTCTACCTCATACTTTACTTTCCAAACGTTTTTATAAACACATTCATCGATTCTTCACAATTCGTCATTTTTTATAAATTTTTTATTATTCACAAACGCAGAGAACAAACAATAATTGGAGAACTATCTGCTTAACATCTATTGCTATGATTATTGTTATTAATAAATTTTTAACGTAAGTTAATAGAATAGTAAGATTAACGTTATGTTATACAAATAATAGAAAGTATATGTAATGGTCGGTGGTGACATTTAGAAGTTATTTCTATGCATTCTTTGCCATCTAACAAATACTGTAAGGGGGATATTATACGAGGTGATGTAAGGTATTGTACGCATAAGATATTGTTAGGCATTTGTTATAGAATAATTCACAACACGGTAAATAATAGAACGGAAAAACATTACATG